AACGCTATAACTCGGCGAAAAATCGACGTAGCGACACGAACCAAAAACCAATCTTCGTTTCACATCCCGCAGATGTATACGCAGTGCCGCAGCAAGGTTCCTCGGCGCCCGGGGCGAATATAATTTTGCCCCCCCCCCCCTAGAATTTGGAATCGGCAAAAAATTTGGCCTATTTGGCATACCTTGTCGCGGTGAGAAAGCTATTACCAAAAGGTGTACATATATGTATATACACCTTTATATATGTATATATATTTGACATCATATAAGTATTCTGGAAGTAATATTTTAACAATATAAATGATGCCCCCCCCCTGGAAAATATTCTGCGGACGCCCTTGGCGATGTGCAATTTATAAACCGCTTTTAAAACTTAATGTGTGGCGAAAAAAAAATTTATTTTGTTGTTTTAAAATGCAAATCAATATACATATTTATGTATCTTCTGCCTTGCAGAGATATCCTTTTCTAGATACGCGTATACATATATAGTATCCATAATAAATAGAGATGTATCTTCGGGGAGTTAGGCACTAAGACGCGCCACTTATTAATTGCGCGCGAGAAACATATCGTTTTTGTATGAAATTCTCAGGTAATTTCGCACAAAGAAAACAAGGTTGAGAAGGATATTATGACGTCATTTTAATGAAATATCTAAAGATAATAATGTATTTAAGGTATACGTGGAAAAAGTTAAATGCCAGAAACATATTTTTAGCTTCGTATTTTTATTCCGAACTTTAAACTTTAAATAGCAGGACATATATATTTATACATACGTATCAATAATGATTTATTACGCTAATATGTAAACGTTCTATTCTATACTCTGTCTTTATAAAAGATATTTCGATAAAAAGGTGAATAATTCGATACCACTGACAACAGGAAAACTTTCTTTATTTACACTGAATAGAATATCTTAAGTTTGGTTTCAAAGATATTTCATATAAGTATATAATATATCAGCTATTTTGCTGTGCGATATTTTATAGCGGTAGAGAAACAACAAAAAAGTCAGTAGATAAAATCTCTGTTTTCTCCCACGATTAAAAAAATTGAAGGTGATCTTCGCGTGACCTTCAAGCAACTATTCAAGGTCAAATTTATGACACCATCTTATGACCCCCTCGAAACAACTTTTGCTCAGATTATTTTTTGCTAGCCCCCTTCCTCGAAGAGATATTTGCGTAGGTCATTTAAAATGAGACACCTTAGATAAAGGAAAGTCCTCCTATGATGAGATAGAATGGTAATATGAGATAGTAGGTTTTAAAACATCCAAATTCAATCACAAATCTTTTTTCGAAACGATTACACGATCTAACAATCAATTTTCTACTAAACAGACTTCACTCCAAGAGCAATCAAATCATGGTGGAATCAACAGATGATGCTTCTTAATTTAGCAGAAATCCCGCCATCTCATATTAGAAGCCTATCCCATAATAGGAGACTTTCCTCTACTGTAAATACTTTCTATAAAATCATATTTTACTTTCATATTATTGAATAATGTTACGTACATTTCTTTACATTTTTAGTCTTTTTGTAAAATTTAATATTATTAAAATTTTCGTAAATTCAAATATATATTTATAAAAAAAATCACTTTTGCGTAAATAATTTTGAAATATTACTCAATTGTTATCAAAAGACTTTTATTTTAGAGTTCTATAAACCTCAAACAAAATGCAATGATTCGTGTTAAGGTTTACATAATATATCTTAGTTGCTTTGATTGTAAGTAGTTTATACTCAATCTTCGTTATGTGGCATATTATGACTTGGCCGATATTGATTAACTCTTTTACGTTGTACTTGCATACACAATTACGTCTTTTACTTTTTCTTTTGACATGAATGTAAATCTTAGAATATACATATTCCTGTTAATAGGAGTCAACTTCAAACTTTATTTCCTATAAAAAGTACAAAAATCCATGTATACCAATAGTTTTCAGTCATTAAGAAAGAAAGCTTTGAATTTCATAAACGAAAACATAAACTTCAAAAGTTTCGGGGAACTGGTAGAACAATACACTTGTCGGAATGTACGGTA